TTAAATTGTTTCTTTTAAAGAGTTGTTTTTTTTTCACATTTGGAAATTTAAATTTGTGTGGCTTCCACCCCCCAGCGTCCCCCGCTGCTGGCTGGGGAATTCTGGGAATTGAAGTCCACACATCTTAAAGTTGCCAAGTTTGAAAAACGCCACTATCGATCATGCTCTGAGATGCCTCCAGTTTGCAGAAGCACAACAAACAGGCCCCTGAAGGGATGTCTGCAGGGTGTGGTCAAAAAAGTCAAGATGGCAAATGCAATAGTGCAATGCACATAAAAAAAACAGGTGGCGTTTCGGTTGCACCGTTGTAGCTCCCATCTTGACTTTTTTGACCACACTCTGAAGATACTCCTGGTGTCGGGAGTGGGGAGCAAACAGAGGGGGGCCTGAAGTTCAGCAGGGCTGAGCTTTAAGTGGGAGTCAAACATAAAGAAAAGCTAAAGTAAGATCCAAGTAGAAGAGCATGAGAATTAGAAAAGGAGAATCAGGGTGCAGAACATGTGGAATTGTAAACAATGGGATAAAACAGACTAGAAATAGGCATTAGAGAACAAAAGGGCAAGGTAGAGTTCAGGGAGAAGAAAAGAGAAACTCAACTCTTTTGGGGTGAAAAGGAATCTATTTTCATAGCCCTGTGGTGAGAATAATAATTTTTAAAAATCCCATTCCCTGCCTGGGTGGCTCCCTGTCTCCAGCTGGTGCCATCGCACTACTGGATCTACCACAGGCCGCACGTGGGGGTAGAAGGCCTCAGACCTGAAAAGGTTGCAAGCCGAATGAAGGAGAGATGCTTGCAACCTTTTCTGTGGCACGGAGTGGTGGGGAAAAGCCCTTTCTCTTTATTAATAGACCTCAGTCCTGTCCAGGTCACAAAGGTCATGATTCTGCTCTGTTCTGCGTCAGCCAAGCCATATTTAGTCTGGCATGTGGTAGGAAAGGCATTCACAAATCGGAGGGGGTCATGGAACCAGAAGAGAGAGAGAATGGCACACCGGCTGGATCAAGCCCCAAGAAGGACTTGGGCAGGTCTGTCCCAGAGAAATTAAGGGGAGACTTGATATCAGCCTTGGATCGACAGCGAGGCTATTGCTGGACAACGGGAGGGAAGGGCTGTGAGTGCCGGAAGCAGATGTTAGCTGGGCCTTTGTGCGCGTCTACGGGCGCACGGGGGTGCCTTTGAATCAGGCGTGACTCCAGGCGACTTCAGGGACGAGCCCTGGAGTTTCCTTGCAGCGTTTTTCAGAAGCGGGCGGCCCTTGGCTGCTGCTTCCTGGGCTGAGAAAGAGGCACGGGCCTGAAGCCACCCTGAAGTGCCTAAGTCGGGACTAGCGCTCAGGGTCTCCCGCTTTGTAGCAGGGGGACTTTGACCGCTCCACCCACCTGGCTCCCAGCTGGAGCTTAGCAGATACTGGGGGGGCAGCTGCCAAGGGCGGAAGAGCCACCCAACGGGCCCTCCTTCACGGGCGGGGCACATCTGCAGCTGTACCGACCAGGCGGCCCACGTCCCCCCGCTGGGCTACAGGGTCGGGGTTCTCCTGGTCTCCTTCCGCGCCACGCCGGGCCGGGAATCTGGAAATCCAGCGGGGTCAACTCCCCGGTGGACTCGCTCGCCCCAGGCAACGGCTCCCGTGGCGGTGGAGGGCCGGGCGGGAGAACCTCTCGCTCGCAGGGGAGAGAAGCGGAAGCTTCGCTCGGGGGTCTGGAGAGCCGCACAGCCGCGTGATACTGTCACTCTCGGCTCGCCCGGGAACAGCCGCCGGGAGGGAACAGGGCTTGCCCCGGCGTCTTGCGGGCAGAGCGGAGGAGGCGCGGCTG